CGTTGTAAACTGGTGTTAACTTGTGTTAACTGGTGTAAGCTGGTGTTGACTGGTGTAAACTTGTGTTAACTGGTGTAAACTGGTGTAAACCGGTATTCACTGGTGTAAACTGGAGTAAATCGTTGTAAACTGGTGTAAACTTGTGTTAACTGGTGTAAACTGGGAAAGTGAGAGCTGCAGGTAGTGCTGCTCCAAACAGGACTGGAGAAAAGGTCTAAGTCTCCACTCTAAAAAGAGCTAAGCGTGAAGGATTCTGCGGTGTGGAGACTCCTACCCTATTATGTGTTCACAGATGAGCCGGCAGTAGTCGCTGTGGGAGCTGGTGATGAGGAGGAGGACCTTCCCGGCGGTTTTCATGCTGTGCAGCCATGTCTTCACCGAGTCGGAGCAAGGCTGCAGGTACCGGCCCGGGTCCTTCTTCACGCTGGGGAAGTAAGTCCCGGCGTCGTCTGGAAGGGGGAAACACAGGACAGAAACCAGTGGTCACCTCAGAGAAGTCTGTATGGGACGGGTTATAAGGCCATTTGCAAACTGTTTGGAGTCCAATATCATACAGATATGAAGATTATTCACAAGTGGTAAACATTCAGGACAGCTGTCAATCTTCCCCGGACAGGTCCAACAGACCCAGAGAATTCAGCCGGCCTCCTGGAGCTGGTGTTAGTTTGAAAAGTTTGTATGTGCTGCCCTCCAGAGGTAGAGTGTGGTGATAAGGACAGAGAAGGAAAGGATTAGTTCTAGGCTCCACACGCCAGATGACGACAAACTCGTGATTGTTTTCAGTTGTGGGATTTTACAAAAAAAAATCCAAGCTTTCATTTTTCAGGCTCCTCTGCCTGTTTGTGGACCAAACCCAGTCCGAACAAAGAGCTTGTCTTTAACATGCTCATTTTGGGCCTCAAATCTTTTTACACTTTGCTTTTATGCTATGTCATGGTTAATTAAGGTCATCCATTTAATTTTGAATTATATTCCATTTGCATTTTATAAATGACGATAAACGATTGATTAAATATTTCACTATTTTGTTGATTTCTGTTGTTAATAACATAATCCACATGTGTGAAAACATTTCAGATGTAGACATATGGCATTTTCCCTGAAGTCTGAGTTCTGTCCGTGGACCATTACATCCTCATTGGAGCAGAAAAAAGGGCTGGGCAATGCTTGACCCTAAGTGTGAGCCCGGCCCCTTTTTCTGAGATCCTGGACCTGCTTCATTACCCACAGCCAGGGAGGTCAGCCGGGGGGGGGGGGGGGGATAACACAGATCCCATATCACGACGCCCGTGAGAGGCTAAAAAACTGAACCCAGCCCTCTGGTCTGGCTTACATGTGATGGAATACCATCACGCAGCACCTCGGTCCTGGTGGGCCTCCAAACAGAAGAATCTTAGCACAAACTTTGAGATGGAGGGCCAGAGGGCTTCACAAACAGCCACACCAAAGTGCGCCGGCGTGTGTCGGCCGGGGAGATAAAAGCTGGAGAAATAAATCCAGAAAAAAAGGTGTATTTAGCCTTTTTTCTCCTTCCACCTAATGAGCACCAATCAGAGACGGTCTGAGAGAGGAGCATCCAGACAGGCATCGCCTTCCAGCACCTGCCTGAACCACGTGGGCTGTTTTGTCTGTGGACTTTCCTTTTTTTAGAAACCCACTAATTGCCGCGTCATGTCAGTCATGCTGCACACATTTTTTTTTTTTCTCCTTGGTGTCTTTGGTGAGAACAGAGTACAAAATCTTAAAATAACACTCATCAGAAGACAGTCACAGCCCTGTCGAAAAGAGGAGAGCTCCGTCTTATTTGCTGCTGTCGGGGGGGAAATCTGGATGTAGGCTCATTCAAAGACGGCTGACTGGATGCCATCTTCTCGATAGTCAGGCTCGTTGAAAAGGTCAAGTAACAAGTCTGATAATGACATTTTAACTAACCAAATATCATCTTCATTTTGATAAAAGTGTAAAGGTTGTAAGAAGTCACACAAAACAAGCACAGGGCTGAAGGGGACCAGTCTTTTTCTTTCCATTTGCA